ATAACTCGAATTTGGGCTTATAATATATCGTTGGAAAGATCTTTTAAAGCCCCATCCAAATATTAAATCATTGGACCCAGATTATGGACCAAAATAAAATGGATTAAACGTTTTATAAAAAGGACACGAAATGAATGATTTTAAAGGACACGAAATAAATTATTTTGGGTTTAAAGGCACGAAAAGAGGAAAATAAGTTATGGTTTGGGGAAACGGGCTAGAAGTTGGGTTGGTTTATGAAATGGAAATATGGATTTAAGCACTCCAAGATTAAATACTTAACCCGACCAATAATGGCGGTGAAAGGTTGTTCATCATCGAGTTTGGTTTTGGGGAGACATTTTTAGGTGTCTACAGGTGCCGACTCCTCTCACGGACGCCTTGTCCTCCGGATTAAGCGCCCTCAGCATCTTCTTGGCTATCTGGATGACAGTCAGCCTTTGCACAGGAACTACAAGACGAAAATGAGTTAAGAAAATTCAAAGGATATATCTATGTGATATAGTCAAAGGTAGAGGTGGTTTATACCATCCGGCTAAACCTCCTCCTCCTTTCCGTGATGCCTCTTTTCTCCTGCTGAGCCGAAAGCAGTGGTGGGTTGCTTGAAGCCACCCTTTGATGCCTTGTTGACATCCAATTTTCTAACCTCCCTGTCATCTTTGATAGTAGAGTCATCTCCTATTTTCTTTTGCTTGTGAGCAATGTGCTTGCGGGACTTGCCAAATGCGCTCACATCACCCGCCCCAATCTTTTGGATTTTGGGTTGGGATTTCTTACAGGGAGAAGGTCTGGTGGAGCCACCCTACATCAACAAAAAGAAAAGGCGTCAGAAAACATGTGGACAAAATTGATCTTGCTCAAAAATACCAAGTATGACAAAAAACTACCTTTAGTGTCCCGCCTTTTTTCTCTGCTCGTCATTCGTCCGATTAAGGACGTTTGAGCGGTATTTTCCTGCAGAGACGACGGTTGTAGGGAATAATTTCGAGCTTTAAAATCTCACTAGCTTGAACCCCACTGTGATCATACACTAAAGTACGGTGGCATCCAAAAGGGAAGAAGATAGAGCAAAAGAGTCGCCAACAAGTTTTTAAGGAACTTGTAAACTGTTCACGAGGTGAAGGTTACACCCCTTAACGACCCAAGAGATCGTCAACTCCATAAGGTCATGAACTAAATAAGGGTTCGGGGATGAAGGTACAAATCCAACCTAAAAGAGATTGAATCTCCCCTAATAATAGGCCTCTACTTTATTCTGATCGTATTCATGTGCGCTTTCTGATTAACATGCAATCAATAGGATTAACCCTAAACCTGTTTAATCTATGTTGGTTGAATTTAATGCACAAACAGATTTATTATTGGCGATCACTTGAATTATAATCATATTAACCCTAACAAGATTATTAATTATCTTATTAAGCGTGATTACAAGTACAAAATTCCCTTTAAGATGCAATAAAAGGTGTGATCAAGCAATAAAGAATAAATCAAGCAACATAATAATCAAAGTATAAAATATAATCATGATCATAAAATTATAACAATGAAATAATCATCATAATAACAATCATATTAACCATAATAATAATCATGTTAATATTAAAGCATAATAATAGCAAGATCCTAGGCATGATACTAACAAGATTAATAACAAACCTAGCATGTCACTAAGCAATAAAAATCAAATCTTTAACCATAACATGATACTAGCAATCATAAATATTAGGAAGAGCATAGGAAGCATCACAACAATCATATTTAATATTAAAATTACCCTAGACATGATACTAGGAATATCATAATAACAATATAAACATGATATCTACATCATAATATCAATTAAAACCATTAAAGCACTTACTTTGATGCCTCGTACCTCTTTCTAATAACAAAATACACACGTTAGTAACTTCAAGGAAAATAATAAACAACAATTAAATTAAATAATTGAAATAGAGATTTGGGACCAAACCCTCAGAAATTAAAACCTTTCACGTCTAGAGCGAAGGCAACTTCGAATATGGCTAGGTGTTTCTAGATCTTGTGATTGCGGAATTTTGTATGAAAACAAAGTAAGAAAGAATTGAATGAAAGAATGCTAAAGAATTAATGATTGTTGATGAAAGCTTGCGAATGAATTCAATTGGTGAATGAAAACGGAGTTTTTGATACGATATTTAAAGAGAAAATCAGCCAAAAAAGATAATTTAACAAAACAGAGTCTGACGCACGCAAAACAAGGTTGGCGCCAACCCTGGCTAGCTGGCGCCAGGCACCAGTGGCTAGCGTCTGGCGCCAAGCCTGGTTCCTTGGACGCCAGTCTTGATTTTAACGCGTTTTCGAAAATCCGATAAGTTTACCGTACTGGAGGATAAAATAATATAATTCCTTCGAAAATGCTATTTGATTTTGATTAAAACTCAGAAAAGTCAACAAAGTCAACTTATCAATGCTAATTGAATTAGGAATGAAAAAAACTTTCTAGAAGATTTTAGAAGACTAAAATCATTCCTAATTGCATTAGGAATGATAAATCATATTAGGCCCTCCCCTAGATCATTGGGCCGTACATAAAGCTCAAACCGGGCCCAGTTTAGTAAATTGGCCATAACTTCCTCAATATTCATCGGAATTGGGCTTATAATATATCGTTGGAAAGGTCTTTGCAAGCCCCATCCAAATACACTACTATTGGACCCATATCATGGACCAACCAAACTGGATTGGATGTTTTCTTAAAATTATGTTTTCAAAAACAGAAAGAAGAGAAAAGAAATAAAAACTTTCCGCAACACTAGACCTTTTCACACTTTCGTTTTATTCGTTTATGATTCGATGTGAAAGGTACTCATCACTGGGTTTGGTTTTGGGGAGACACAAATGGGTGTCTACAATAGCCGGCTTCCTTGATGCTGAGACTTTTTCCATAGCTTTGTCTGCACAAAAAGCAAGAGTTAGAATTTGCAAACAAGTATCGAAAAGCAATTTAAAGTTGCATAAATATCAGACGGCTGACTACCTCTAGGCATCTCAGAACTTAGCCAACAAGCGGCCAAGAACACCCCATCCTCTAACCATTTGTATAGGGGGATGTAGCTGTGAGGGACGACCTCTTTCTCCCCCTGTTCATTTGTCCGGACAGACACTTTGAACAACCCCCATCAAAGATTTCCTCCTGGCACTACAACAAAAATGAGTTTGGGCGACGAGTCATTTTAGCATGCTCGACTAAATGTTTCTCCGTAGCCCAGACACTTTTAATGGGCATCTAAATTAATTTTGTCACACAAATATGTGTATTGTGCGACGAAATATAAAGTCGAAGCCCAAAATCTACTTTGGGCTACGAATATAATTTTACATGCTACTAGTTTTTTCTTCATTGCCCAAATCTAATAAGGCGACTAGTTATATTAATACATTTGACGCCCAAAACCCAAAAAAAAAGGCGGAAAATTAATTTTCTATCTTGCAAAATTCCCACGTTCACATAAGAGTCTCACGGTTTCTCTAATTCGCCCAAATAATTCTACTCCTACTTCACTTCATATTTCCTCAATTCCTAGTTTAATGTCAGTTAAACCCTAGTACCTAAGTCACCTCAATTTACTGATGCTACTCTGATAACTCAAGACTGGCGTGGGTTTTTCCGGCGGCCTCAACACACTTACAGCAATAACGTCATCCACTTTTTCCCAGGTAATTTACCCCTTTAATTCAGTTGTTTTTCCTTATATTTAGGGTTAAATTTGGTGTTTTTCTAGTTCTTGGATTCAATTATGGGTAATTTGATCCCTATAATTTTGTGTGAATTGATTATCCCCAATCAATCGCTGGTTGTTTAAACGATTCATAATTAGTATGAATTTACCTAATTCTGTTGTTGGTTGTTATTTTGGAGTAATTGTTAGTAGTAAATTTTCTGCATATGATTTTATTTGTTGGTAATTTGGAGAGTTTGACTTGTTTTGATTGAGAAAGTAGGGAGTTAGGGTGTCGTAGAAATTTAATTATATGGTGTCAATTTTAGTGTGTGTTTATTTCAGAAGGAAAAGTATAGATTTCAATATTTCTTTTGTGTGCATGTATCAGATTTTGCAAATTAATATGATTAGAGGCTATACTTTTCATGTTGTGCAACCAAGAATTAATATACAGAGTAGTAGGCGTATATTGGCAGGGGTGAATACAATTAGAACTAGCTTTAAAATATTGAAGTATAGTTTGAGCAAATTATTGGTGAGTGTGCAAGTTAACTGGTGTAGTTTGTTTAACTGTGCTTTCAAGAAAATTAAATTGGGTTTGACTAGTCTGATCTAGTGTTCAAGTCTATATCTGATCGTTGGGTTGTTTAATTTAATTGAAAAGAAAAAAAAAAGGTTATCTTGTTTGATTTAATTAAACCATGAGCTGTTTAATTTATGCCTTGGGTTGTTTGTAATTGGTATTAGGATCTATTGATAAATATAAATATGAAATTTCTAACTTTTTTTGGGTTATGAACAAACATGTGCTCTATGAGGTAGGCAAGGAATTTTTTTTATTTATAACCTATTGAAATTATAGCTATGACTCGTGTAATTTGATTAAACTAAAGGACTTTTGCTCCTTTCTGATCAGAGTAGCAATGTACCATATAACTATGTGTATGTTTGCTAGCATATTTTATTAGTGGAATTTGCTTTGCCTAAGATGAATATGAGTCAGCATATAAATTTTTTCTTCATATTATATAAATGCATGTTAAAGTATAAATGTATCTTAGAATTGTCGTTTCTTTGCAATTCTTCTAACTCATGCATTTGATAATCTTGTTTCCCATTCTTGTTAAATATATCACTTCTTTGCAATTCTTCTAACTCATGCATTTGATAATCTTGTGTTTCCCATTCTTTTTAAATATATGACATATAATTCATGTTTAAAGTTAAATCTTATTGAAAAATAAAAAAATCTTTTTTTGTAACTAATTATCTTTATTGTTTTTAAGAACAAATATGGATCGAAGTTGGATGAATCATAATGGTGTAAAGGATAGAAAACAACCGAAGTACATAGCTGGTGTAAATGAATTTCTACAGTTTGCTTTTAGGGGAAAAAGTGGTGAAACAATGTTGAAATGTCCTTGTCTTGATTGTAGATTGGTTATGTCTCAAAATCGTAAAAATATGCAATGTCACTTACTAGTATATGGCATTGATCAAAGTTACAAACCATGGGTGAGTCATGGAGAAAGTGCAGAGAAAACTAATAACAATGAAGATGGGTATAGAGAGGAGGTTTCAGATAATGATGATGAGATTGATGAAATGCCTTTTGATGACATGGCTCCATTTGTTTTCGATGCAACAAACGCGTGGAATTCCATAAACTCTACACCCGTCAATGAAAATGAGGGAACCACAAATATAGGATTAAATAGTGGCACTCATGAAACTCCTAGGTTGCTCCAAAAATTAATGGAGGATATGGAGGCTGATTTATATCCAGGTTGTAAGACGTTTAAGAGATTGGAGTTTATTATGTCATTGTTGCACATTAAAGTTAGTAACAAGTGGAGTGATAAGTCCTTTTCAATGTTATTGAATGCTTTGCACAGGGCATTTAATTATGATAACAATTTACCTTCAAGTTCCTATAAAGCAAAAAAATATACAAAAGCGTTAGGGTTAGACTATGCTAGGATTGATGCATATGTCAACCATTGTGTTTTGTTTCGAAAGGAGTATACTAATGAAGTTAAATGTCCTAAGTGTTTAGCCCCTACATGGAAGCAGGATGTATCTCAAGATGATGAGAGTTCATATGAAGATGAGGGTGCCAAGAGGAAAATACGAGTACCTCAATTAGTCTTGCGTCATTTTCCACTTATTCCAAGGCTCCAAAGAATGTTTATGTGCTCCAAGCTAGCAATGCATATGAGATGGCACAAGAAAAAGCATTTTGGTGATGATGATGATGGGATTATGAGACACCCAAGAGATTCGAAATCGTGGAAGTCTTTAGATGAGTTATATCCAGACTTTGTTGCGGATGCACGTAATGTACGCCTGGCTTTAGCTAGTGATGGGTTTAATCCTGCGGCGAACATGAGTAGTAGATATAGCATATGGCTAGTGATGTTAGTACCTTATAATTTACCTCCTTGGATGTGCATGAAAAGTGACAACATGATGTTATCATTATTAATTCCTAGCCCTAAATCTCCTGGCAATGACATAGATGTATTTTTGCAACCTCTGATAGATGAATTAAAGGAGCTATGGGAGACTGGGGTACAAACTTTTGATTCCCATTCTAAGGAGACATTTAATATGCGAGCAGTGCTAATGTGGACAATAAGTGATTTTCCTGCATATGCCAATCTTTCTGGCTGGAGCACTAAAGGAGCCATGGCTTGTCCTAATTGCCACAAAGATACAAATTCTGAATGGTTGAAACATGGACACAAATGGTGTTATATGTGTCATCGTGTATTTTTAGAACCCGATCACAATTGGAGGCTTAATAAGAGATTCTTTAGTAAGAAAGTTGAAAGGCGCCCACCACCTAATTCATTGTCAGGGCATGATGCTTTGGAGCAGCTACATGGATACCCAAATGTGGAGTTTGGAAAAGATGATAAAGGAAAACGGAAGAGAGGCGAAAGATATATTGTTCACCAGTAGAAAAAGATAAGCTTTTTTTTCAATTGCCTTATTGGAGACATCTATTAGTTCGACATAACTTAGATGTAATGCATGTGGAAAAAAATGTATGTGAAAATATATTAGGCACATTGCTTGACTTATCGGGAAAGAACAAAGACACCTTAAAATCTCTGTTGGATTTAGAGTCCATGAAAATGCATGATGATCTTCGACCGAAGAAAGTAGGGGACAAATATGAAATTCCACGAGCCCCTTTCAACTTGACCCTAAATGAAAGGAGGAAAATAGTCACATTTTTATCGATTTAGATTCAGTCGGCTATCACTGAGAGAGGCGGCAAGGCACTTTTGCCAGCCTGGAGAGGCGGATCCTTGTTCCACCGATTCAGATTCAGTTGGCTATCACTGGAGTGGACTATGTAGAACTTTGTTCCCCAGTCCTTCCACTTGTTTTCCTTACCGACTGCCATCATGTATGATGGGCGTTAGAACGGTCGCACATTCCACACTCAATCAAACACATTTATTAACAAACACCTTACACACCAAGCATAATGATAAGTAAGAGTTCGGTCCACATGGAATGGGATATGGTTGCTAAAGATCTTAACACTTAAGCTTATTCGAAGTCTATGTCAATTGGGGTTCGTCAAGTAGACAAACAAACTATGATTCTAAATCGATGGATTAAAGACACTAGGGAATGGGATCCACTCAACTAAGGCAATTAGGCAAACGGGGAGTAAAATAGACTAGGTATGGCAAGGACAATATGTAAAATCAACCTCGTGCAATTAGAAAACAACTCACACTACTAAACTTAGATTCCTCACTAGTCTAACAATAGATGATACATAATCAAATTGCAATAATTAATGACATACTCAATTTACATTCCCATGTCAAACTAAGCATATCATGTTATCAAGCTCCTAAGTCAAGGGTAGCTAATCCTATCATGAAGAACTAACAAGCAATCTCATATAATCAATTTAATTGCAATACAAACATCAATGCTTCTCCCACATTTGCATAATTAGCCCAAAAGGTTGAGCTTCACCCAACCCCTAGCAAGAATACTACTCACAACTCATGTTTATCAACATGCAAACAAGTATTAGGGTTCTAACTTCTTCAATAATTGGGGAAAAGTGATTAACAATTGAAATAACTATCATCCAATGACAAATTATCAAGAACTAAGAAGATTTAAATATCATGCAAGAACAAATAAAACTAGAATTTGAATGGAGAAAAGTAGAAGGAAGTTACTAATTGAAGCTTGGAAATGTTGAATACAAAGTGTCAATTCTTGAGGATGAATCTTGAAACCAACTATTACAATGGTTAATTTGATGAAAACTAAGCTAAATTAATTAAAAGGAATGTTTCAAACTAAGAGAGATATCAGAAAACTAAGCTATTGTTCGCTACTTCACAAATGAGCTAAAGGGGAAGTATTTATACTCCCCGAAAAAACATAGGGAAATCCGTCAAAAGAAAAAGGATTCCCAGCGAGGAGCGCCCGCTCCGTTCTGATGCACGTCCGCTCCTCCTGCTTCAGTGGAAAGTCAGACTTGAAAGTAACAAGGAGTAGCGCCCGCTCCTAGTCAGGTGCACGCCCGCTCCCCTGTTCTACATCATAGGCAGTCTTCAAGTTCAAAGGAAGGAGCGCCCACTCCTGTCTAGGTGCATGCCCGCTCCTCACAAACTCTGCATTTGGGCATAATGTTGCTGAAGTTGGGGAGCGCCCGCTCCAGGGGAGGTGCACGCCTGCTCCCACTAGAGCGGGCTCTCCCTTCTTTTTCTTCGAGCCTTGAAATTTACTCTATGATTTGAGTGCTTGTCAAATTGAAATATAATGCTTGCAAAACATGGACAAACACAAGCAAAGAAGGGGCGAGGCCAAGATACAACATTTTTATTCAAAAACGGGTTAGAAAGAGGGGAAAAGATTGCAAAATCGGGTTAAAAAAAATCAACACTGTAAGTGATCAAATAAACCGCTTATCAATGTACCCCTTTTAGGTGGACAAGGTGTACCAACCTTCGCTGCCTTTAACTGGCGCTCTGCTGAGATAGTGCATGTGGGCGAATGCTTCAAAGCTGGGATCCCCCTGCAGCATTTCACATGCGGCAACATACTCGATGATATTAATCCAGGAATTCGGGACAAGTTGCCAGATACCTAGTTGGTATCCGTCCAATATTCTCTCCACGGTCGGATGGAGAGGGAAGCGCATGACGGCTTGGAGGACCGCCTCGTAGTAGCCGAATGCTTGGTCCCTATAACTGCCCAAGCTGGGCCAGGTTATTATATCATCCTTGTTTGGCATAGACAAGGAAAATCCATGGCTCATGACGGTCTTGCGCTCAAAATTGGCAAGGCCGGATGCCATAGAAGTTCGCTTGCTTAGCGGAACATGATGATAGTAGGGAGCACGTTCCAGGCGCCGAGAAGCACTCAGCTCGGCCCAACCTTCTCCCTTCTCCACTTACAAGGACTCCCTTGCAGTGCTTATCTTTGTTCTGGCCTCCTTTGAAGTAATGGAGGCATTCTCAGAAGATGACGAGGCCGAATCGTCATCTGAACTCTCATCAAAGATGGGGAACTGCCGACTGGTGCCAGCAGGGTCCTCCCCCAATCTCTCTTCTGACACCTGTTCTGAAGGCTCGGGTCTGAACTGGTTGTCGGCTACCCACAGTATGTTATCACTGGGGGTGCCGCTTGAAGAAGGAGAAGAGTTATAGGTTGGAGTTGGGGGAGGGTCAGATGAAGGGCTGGGGGGGTTGTTAAAGACTTCATTGACAGGCGCCCTAATGGAGCCATCAGAATAAATGTTCGACCCTTCTGAACGGTAATAAGAACCATCCGAACTATAAATTCTTGTTTTTCTCTTCTTTCTAGCCATAGTGTCCTGCACAGACACAGAAACGGTCGAATTGGGGGAAGTTTGCAAAGCAGGATCACTGACCAAGCAGTCAGCACCGCTAGTTCTAGATTTAGCCGTCCCCGGTGACCGGCTGATCACTATCCTATGCCGTGCCGCGTGCGTTTGGGAAACCATTTTTCGAAAAACAAAGAAAAAATGTAAAGTAAGAGAAAAGAACAGGCGGTTACCTTAGAAGAAGGTACTAGGAGACGCTTGGTTTGCTGGAACAGGCGGACAGAAAGCCGAGTGTCGGATGCTTGAAAAGTTAAGTCTTTAAAAGCCTTTGAGAGTCTTTGAAAGTCAGAAGTCTAGGGATTCTACAAAGATTCGCAAAGGTGTGAATCTAGGGGGGGGCAAATCTTTCTATTTATAGAGGGGGTAAAACCCTAATTTTTCCCTCCACAGTAAAATTTGAATTCGGCCAGCCGGATCCCGACACCTATCACAGGCAACACGTGGCAAGCGCGTGTCCCCTGTGAGGGGCAAATGATTTAGGTATTTTTACCCTACCAGCTGGCCTAATCCGAGCCAGCCACGTGTCACTAGAAGGTGCGCCACTGATGTGTAAAATCTGTAAGCTTTGGTTGTGAGTAATCACTAAGCTTCTTTGGAGCCGTCATCTCTGATTCTGCGTCTGATGATACCTCTGAATCGCTAGAACCAGTCGGAGGGTCACGGTGATTATTGTTATTATCACCAGAATCCGCCAGGATTTGCTTGTAGAGATTTTTCTGTCTATGAAAAGATCGTTCGATCTCAGGATCGAATGGGATGTACCCTGATCTGGAACACCTAGGCATAAACAAAAAAAAAACTAGAAGCAAATATGAGATTTTGCCTCAGAGAACTAATGTTCTCTGAGACAAAAAGAAAATAACTTAGACTACAAAAATAATCAGAAATAAAAATAAAACCGTTTCCCCGGCAACGGCGCCAAATTTTGACAGGGTAAAGTCGTATCCCCAAATCAAAAGTAATTCCTAAATCCTCTAACTAAAGTAGATAGGGAAGTAGGGTCGAACCCACAGAGAAACGGATCTTTCTATTCCTAATTAACTATTATAATCTAGATTATGAGGTAACCAAAATTTATATTTGAATAATAAACTAAACTACGAAGATTGAGAATAGGGAGAAAACAATATATAAAAGGATCTAGGGCATAGGTTCACCAATAAATAATACTCCAGGGTAAAACATAATAATCAATCATTGACATTGCATAAATAACATGATTAACAGGCTCTCGCAATTTACTAATCAACATAGATCTAATAGGCTCTCGCAATTTACTAGATCTAAGTTCCTATTGAAAATAGCCTTTAATATCAAATTAATATCTGCTCGATTCATCAATTCAATATTGCTATACTTTTACAAGCCATAATTGTAAAGCGTTCAAACAATTCAATAAGAAATTATCATGCAATATCAAAAATCAATAATAGTCAATCATCAATTAACCAGATCGTAAAGGGCTTTCGCTACGTATTACAATCACAGAATTAATCTACCGGTATTAAATCTCATCTCTCGAATCTCGACTTAACCATTTATAAATTAATCTGCCTATTGAAACTAGACCTAAACATCAATTCTCATCTGTCGAATCTCGAATCAATATTGTCAAACTCATGCATAAAAGATCAGGCCTAATCTAGTCACAGAGCATTAAATCAATCAATAGGAAATTAATCTAGCATTGATAATTAACAACAATAAATTACCCCTTCGTATTATTTATGGATCCCCATAAACCCTAGAAATAAAACTACTCACACATGGTAAAAACTAAACTAATCAAAGCAATAAAGTAAGATAAATATTAAAGGAATAGAAATACAACTAAGATTAAGGGAAGAGAAATAGTTACCAAACAAATCTGGAATTAAGAATGGATTAAGAACAAAGGTTTAAGAGGGAGAGAATCTAAGAAAACAATTAAAAGAGTAAAGAAAGAGTAAAAGGAAAGGAGAGAGAGAGAGAGAGTCAGAGGGATCCTAAAATCGTATTACGGAGGAGTATTTATACTCCGTACAAATCCTAAACTGAAAAAAAACTAAAACGACGCTAATCGTCTCCTAAT